AAATAAAGTACTGAATCAGATATGGGCAAATAGAAGTCTTTTCTCTCTCTCTGTTCTAAAGGCAAAAGGTAAAAATTGTTTTTATTATCTGCCCTGCACACAGAACTGCAATGATCCTTATTGCAAAGATTTAAGCAACTTTAACACTTATTTTTAAAGCTAATTACAAATACTGGGTAAACATCAAGTGCTGTATGCGATGCAAGACCGTTTAAAAACTTATGTGAAATATTATATGATGGAATGGCCTATTATATGATTATATAAAATGTCATTACATGATTATAAAAAAGTGAAATATTATGATGAAATTTGTTTTGACGCATTAAAAAACATCTATTTTGAGATAAAACATCTGCTGATGCTTGCTACTACATAGAAACACTTATGTACAAGTATTATGAATACCCTAAAATAATCCCCCAGACGTCAATAAAGTGGGACAGGAAGGAGCGATCAGCTGTAGCTCTGACCATGTAAAGCATCTAGACTTGTTTACAGCCGGCTATGGAGCTGACTGTACATGTCTTTTTAGTCTCTGAAAAGGAAAATCTATACTATAAACAATAGTAGCAATAATATATATATATTTTAATTATTATAAAAAAGTTTTTCTAAAAAAAAAAGATATAACTATGAAACAAAGAAACAATAATAGCTAACAATATCCCGACATTTAGCGCACATTCTTCTTTACAAATACTTAAGTAGATCATTTAAATAATAAACAGTTTTATATACTTGAGTGTTTAAAGACAAAGCCGTTCGCTGAAGTTAACTGTACGCCATCAAAACACAGCAACAACAATAATAATCGACGTTTCAGAAACATGCAGTAAAACCTGCATAGGAAGGTGTAAATTTGCCTACCTTATCAGCTTTTCAGAAATGTATTATTTGCAGATTTAATGCCACGGCTTTATCTGTTTTGAATCGCAGTCTCTTCAGACGGGTGTATAGTCTGGACTTGTTTATGTACTCGAGGCTCCTCCTCCTGTTCTTTAGTGTACTCGAGCTGACATGGGGAGGCTCCTCCCACGAGGCGGGGCGCCTGGAACATATGTAGGCCTACATGCGGATGTTTTTGTTTGCAGATATAACTTTACATAGCCTACTGAAGCTCTCACATGTGTTCACAGATATTTTATGCAATACTAAAGAAAAACATGATCTATTCATAGCTGCCAGACGCAAGCTGTGAGACTTTTACTGTTTACATGTTCACTTGTCAAACTGACTGCACAGTAAAACCAGTAGTGAGCGCAGGTCAATGAGTGCATTTACATGCACAAGCGAATAACTATTAAAAACCAGAGTGACACTTAAGTTTAAATTGATAGTTCAACCCAAAAATGTCAATTCAGTCATACTAAATCATTTACATCATTCTGACATCATTTACACTAAATAAGATTTTTTCAAACGCCTGTTGGAATACTTGTTAACATCCACAGTTTGGAAAACACAGAAATCAATGTTACAAGTTTTTCAACATTCTTCAAACTATCTTATTTAGAGTTTAACAGAAAAAAACTCATAAAAGTTTTGAACTACTTGAGGATGAGTACATTTTTAATGAACTATCCCTTTAAGTATCAATTCTTACTACTGGCTTATTACCTCTCTATCATTGATTATGGTGAATTAGTAAAACGGCTCTGCAAAAAACTACATTTGCACTGGATAAAACTCAACAGAACTAAGAGAGTGTGATGTTTCATTATTTTATTTCAAAAATAAATTTAAAGCTTGCTTTGGCACTCAAACTTATTTGTAATTTGGTGTCAGATCACTGTTTTTTCAACTCATCAAACCACCAGGGCAGGCTGTTACAGCTGAAAACAATGATTTTGTGAAGCTAGTGCGTATATAATTCATTCATTCATTTTCCTTCGACTTAGTCCCTTTATTCATCAGGGGTCACCACAGAGGAATAAACCGCCAACTTATCGGGCATATGTTTTACGCAGCGGATGCCCTTCCAGCTGCAACCCAGTACTGGGAAACACACATACACACTCACATGCACACACATACACTGCGGCTAATTTAGTTTATTCAATTCACCTATACCTGCACCTGGAGGAGGGAGAACATGCAAACCCCACACAGAAATGCAAACTGACTCAGCCGTTACTCTAACCAGCCGACCTTCTTGCTGTGAGGTGACAGTGCTAACCCCTGAGCCACCATGTGGCCCTGCATATATAACATGGATCATAATAAAATTAAAATAATTATGCTGTCTCTTTTTCAAGAATTAATCATGTTTAATGTATGCTACAAAACACACACGCACCCACAATTTATTGTCTCACCTTTGTTCTGAAGGCATGGATTTTCTGATGGATGTTCCCTATAGGATGGAGTAAGACATAATTTCTTATGTCTTTATGATTATTAATAAAGTTGAGTATTTAAGGGCTTAAATTATATGATGACCTTAGTGTCATCCCACTTCAGAGCAAAACTGGAATAATGTGTTTGTCATGGTTTGTTCTGAATGCCAAAGGATGTTTCCTCAGGATCTACCAAGCCAGGTCAGAGGTCATGGAGACCTCTTGAATGGAGCCTTACTCTCGGAGAATTGAAAACAACTGTTTCCTGAATTATTTGCCATTTTATGTGTTAAATCTGTTAAAGTTAATTCCTTTATGCAAGCTGTTTGGATGTTAATAATACCAGTTTTTAAACATTTTGATAAGACAGCTTAGAGTACACTAAGCCTTGAGTAAGAAACCGATTGTGTTTTTTATGTGTGTGTGTGTGTGTGTGTGTGTGTGTGTGTGTGTGTGTGTGTGTGTGTGTGTGTGTGTGTGTGTGTGTGTGTGTGTGTGTGTGTGTGTGTGTTCTATTCATTTGTGAATCAGTATTACAGGTCTGGGGTCAGCTTTGAATACCCTATAGTGGCTGTCTGACTTTTGTATGCAATGCCTTGAAAGATATTGTATCCTGTGCAGCTGCTGTGGTGGTCATGATTCCTGTGACGCTTCAGGGACATATGAGTCTTTGCTGAGTTTTTTTAATTCCTGACTTTCGCTAGTTGATGAAGTTTTTATCCTCGCCGCTGTTGCCACTGGCTTGTAGAGTTTGGGATCTGTAGAGCTGCGCATCGATGGATTTGCTCTTCAGTGTTTGGAGTTGCAGTAGTGATTATTTAACCACACTGAACTGAGCTAAACTGAACTGAACTTAAACTCTGAAAACGGAACTACACTGTTTCAATTTACTATGATCTTCTATGTGAAGCTGCTCTGACACAATCTACATTGTAAAAGCGCTATACAAATAAAGGTGAATTGAATTCAATTGAATATTGTTTGGAATTTCAGGCTGATCATTTTTAGGTTAAAACTGTTGGTTCTCCTACAGTTCCTCTAATTCAGGGGTTACCAATCATGGTCCTGGAGGGCCGGTGTCCCTGCATGGTTTAGCTCCAATTTGCCTCAACACACCCTGGTCTGGGTGATTGTGGTGGGATCACAGACGTAATGTTGCACTCTAGGGGCTACACTGTGTGGTGCAGTCTCTGATCAAAAGACTTCTTTATTTTGTTTGATGATCTCAAAATGTCAGAAAACCCACCTTATAAGAAACATCTCAGCATGACTAAACAGATTAAAATGGATTTCATCTATTCATCTCATTTGAGTGTCTAAAGTTTGGAACTAGCAGGATTTGTAGGATAATTTATTATATTGTGTGACGCCTGTCATACATAAAACAAATAAAAGGGTCATAATGAACTGTTTATTTCCACCTTTACTATGTTTGCTGAGGTTTGAAGGATTTAGAGAGATTTTAAAAATCATGCTGCATTCAAGACATGGAAAGAAGCGCTGACTGAGTTGCAGTTTTGAGTTTGTATGTATGTGGATACTGCCTTGATTACCTTGAAAACAACCAGTTTATTTTGGTTAAAGTATAAATAATCATGTAAATGTTAAATGATAATAGAAAAAGTAATGATGGCACGTTTACTTTAAAAACATGGTTACTCATCATGGTTATTACACATAGCACTGGATTTCATAACAGACACTGCATTCTCTTTTCTTCTTATTATTATTTTTTGACTTTTTTACTGTTGTTAGACTGTATCTCCATTTAAAACTAAAATGCTGGAAATCAAAACAAACAAATGAACAGCATTTTACTAATCCTCTATATTTATGACTATTATTTCTATTATATTATTCCTCATGTTATAATATGTCTACACTAGACTACTGTGTGACTCCACTTGATTGAAGACAATAAAATCAAATATAATCTGTCTTTCTGTCTGGATTGAGACATTCAAACTTTCCAGCATTGAGCATTGAGTCTTTTAGATTAAATTTTACACTGAGGTCCCAACAAAGTTGCCATTTAAACTATTTTAAAACATCCTGGGGGACTAAAGAGTATCCTGGCCAAATCCCTCTATCAGTATTGCATGGCCTCCCATTCATCCACATCCACTGAATTGGCTCTATCAATGGCTCCATCATTGTCTCTCCACCTACAGCTGGTGTGTAATGGGAATAGAGATGTGCTATATAAATATACATACTTTCTTTCAGTGTAGTAATGTTTAACAAAACACAACAACTCTGCACTGTACAACAATAAAAACAAAACATTAGTAACTTAAATAGTTTTTAACCATAAGTGTATTTACAGCATTGTTATGAATGCTATACCCCATACAGCAATAACTAGTGAACTAAAAAAACTGTAATGAATATACTTTATATACTCTAGTATACTTTAGGATTTACAACAGTGTGGTGTATAGTATTATATAGAGACCTTAATGTATTTGGTAACTTATTAGTAGCTGTTGTATTACCACAGTAACTATTTACCAAAACAGATTAATTCAAGTAATTGTCTGTAAAACACAAAAAGTATTATATATTTTAAAATACTATAGTATTTTTTATGGGTAATCTTTTGTTTTGTCTCTTATTTTTTAAATTAATTTCTTAATGTCTACAAATTGGTGGTATAGTGATGTCAAAAGCTCAAAGGGAATTCAAATTTTCAGCTCATGGCCCCTTTAAATCGAGAGGTTCCACAAGACAGATTACACCAGATCAGATGAGAAGACAGTGAAAGTGTGGAGTACTTGAGCAATCCCACACTGACTTTAACCAGCGTGAATAAAACAGGCATAAGGGAGCTCCTCTCTAAAAAAGAAAAGGTAAGTGCTTTAAAAACAAGTTCTAAAGTTTTAGCGCTTATTAAATTTGTATATCATTATTGATGTCGGCTATGCTCCAAATAAGTGTACAAATTTTGTTCATAAACTTTTCATATTTGCTAGCAGAATTTAATGAAATATAAATAAATAATATTACTAAGTGCACAGAAACCTAAATCAACTCATAAATACAGTTATGAGAGCTGTCTCTGGGAGTTATATATTCAAAAGGTACATATCTGTACCTAAAAGTATACAGTGCGGAGCATATTTGAGTAAACCCCATTTAAAATATATATATATTTTTCTCCATTTCTCTGTGAATATAGGCAGTGTATTTTGGTGCATTTAAACAAAACAGATTTATTAAACAGATATATTTTATTAATATTAATAATATTTTAGTCACCAAACATTTTTAGAAATTGAAAGATAATACAAATAAACTCAAGCAAAATATTGCAAAAATTTAATTTCTCTTGATTTTTCTCTGTTTAAATTTGTATTTAATATTTTTCTATAACATTTGGGTGTACTAGTTTTTGGACCATTATGGTAAGTTAATTTGTTAGATAAGTTCCAGATTTGGCTTCCGTACTGACTAATCTAATGTACAATATATGCACAAATATAATATTGAATAGCTTCCTATTAAAATGTGAATTTAAAAGATAGATTTGTGAGGGGGGTACTTATATGATGAGCACTGTATATATAAGTAACTTTATAAAGATTTCAAGATGTACACTTTTATACGTTCTACAGACTATATGTACCATTGAGGTACAAATATGGACACTTTAGATTAAATGTTATATTTTTTGCAAAGGTACTGCTTCAGTGAATGCTCTCATATCTTTATTTCTGAGAGTGTTACGCAAAAAATAAATATGCTTTCAACAGTATGCTAGTTACAATGGTTCCTGATGCTCAAAAAGAAACTTGATCAAAATAGGTTTGGTTTACATTTGCATATGAATGGAAGTTTCTATTCTTCTCATTCTTGTGTAAAAGGTCAAATGATCTATTATTGTTTATTTCTAGGGTCTCTTCTGACATGACAATGAGCAGTCGAGTGGATGATGTGATGCAGCTTTGCTGTGAGGTCTCAGCCAGCAGGAAGATCAAAGCAGCAGTGAAGAGCTCTGGAAAGGGAGCAGCAGCAGCGGGTGGAGGTGCTTTTGTAGGGGGAATGGTCGGAGGCCCAGCCGGAATAGCTGTTGGTAGGATCAATCAAGCCTCTTTTAGTGCAATACATGAACTTTCATCTACAGTATTTCATCACAGGAGAGTGTTATAATACCATATTTAATAGCTGAGCGCTGTGTTTCACAACCTTATTTTTAAGGTTCTAGGGTCAGTGGTTATTCAGGGCTTTAGTCTAGACTTTTGTCAATGCACAAAGAAGTTTTGATTTCAAATTGGGCTATTACACTCTGAAAGATAAAGGTGCTAGGAAGACATAAAATAACTTTTTTTACTGTGATGCCAAAGAAGAAACTTTTTAGCTCCCCAAACAACCTTTTTAGGAAAAGATCTTCAAAGGACAATTTTTATAAATCTAAAATAATTATTCATGTAAAGTACCTAATTTTTAGACAATACCATCAATACCAATAAAAAACCCTTTAATTTATACTTATTACCTTTTTGGGTACTTATCATTATTTGAAATCATGAATTCATAAATGTTTGCCTTGATGTAGTGTTTGAATGTTAAACACTGAGTTTATTAATGTTACAGATACACAGCAAAATATGGGGACCCAAAACAACTCTATGGGTGTTAATTTCAACACTTTGAAAGTGTCTCATGGGGTCCACTCAAAACAGAGTTAAATCAACACTTTCAAAAGGGTTGGCACATTGACACCAAAGTAAGGGTTAATTTTAACTCTGGGCAGAGTTAAAAAATGTAACTATATTTAACACCGCCTGGTGTAATATATTGTTATTTTATTCAACTCTCTTGAGTGTAAATATGGTAAAAAGGTCAAATAGACTGTAAATTACAAAAGAAAAAACATTTTATTTGAAAACATTCACCACTTCAACAATTCATTCAGTTTTTAAAATGCAACAATGTCAAATATGCTTTAAATGTTTTATTAGTACAGACAGTATCAACAAAATATGTACCAGTGCTCAAAAAGGCTGTTTCAGTCCTTTGGTCCAAACTTGATGTGTTATCAGAGCAATTTGAAAGTTCAATATAGCGTCACTCATAGTTTTCTTCTGAACGCATAGTTTTCTTGTGAAATTACATTTTAAACAACTTGGCGTGCTAATCTTTCACTTCGGGTGTTTCCTTGGTCCTCCATATCAAACACAGCAGTTTAAATGAAGGTATAAATGCTGTAAACTTGTGTGAAAACAAACTGGAGCTAGGAAATCTCATCAAGCATGTCCTGTGAATGAAGTGCTTCCCAGCCACAGGATGACCTTTTTATCCATGACGATGTAGTAGCTGCTGATCGCTCGTCTGGTGGTTCCTGATGCACGGATATAGGGTGATGCTCATCTAAGAACTCTTCAAGACTCCAGCATGACTAAGAAAAATGTTTGAAAACAAATTGCAATCAAATTCTATGATATATTTAAAAGAACATTTAAAGTAAATAAAACATTCAAGAAATCTAAACTCACCTTTTGAAAATCTTCATGATGATCCACAACTTGACTCTCCCAGCTGGTTGAGGTGACAGGATATGGAAAAGTAGAAAAAACACATAATTGGAATCTCCAAAAACAATTAGGTTAACCACTATGACTAGAACTGGAAAAACAGGCAGCTGTCTGTCCAGAATCCTGAATTTAACACAACACTTGGAGCAAAATTTAGAGGATCTTAAAATCTTTTATATCATTTAGTGATGCTGACTTCCCCAAAATATTGGCCACAGTGTAAAAAATATTCATAAACTTCATAAACAACAGTTTTCTGTAAGCGTGTGCGTGCGTGCGTGCGTGCGTGCGCGCGTGCATGTTTCTTTACCAGATTCAACTTGTTAGGCCCTTTCAGGTCCAGTATTGACGCCACCTTTCCTGGAGTCTAGCAGATGTTTCAGGTCCAAATATAATCTAAAATATTAGGATAAGCAGAAGAGGAAAAGTGCAAAGCACAAAGCAAAGAGCAAAACATTATTTAAGTAACAGTTCACCCACAATACAAAACTTATCACCTTCATGTCATTTGTTATTCTTTAATGCTCTAATACCCTCTCAGCTTATTGTGAAACAAATACAGAACTTTATCAAACATACCTTCATTATTATCACCACATATGACCAAGAAGGTGTGCTTGGTCATTTCACCAACTCTGGAAATACACCATCCGTCTCTAATCAGCCACCGTCACAGGGTCTTGTGTTTTTGTATAGAGAACTGTGGCTGTTAAAAAAACAACAAAAAATTAGTATCTAACACATATGCATAACCTTCAGATAAAAAAAGAGAGATGAACATCACAAAGTATGCCTCACACTTTTTCAGATATCTTTTGATTCAGATGTTGATTATTGATAATAAATCTACAAATCAAACCTGTATCATCATTAGGCTGCTCAAATATGAATCAGTTGATTAATTTTACAGACAGGTGGCTGTTTACAACGCACTAAATTGTCTTTAATAAAAAAGGAAATGTTGTGTACAGTACATGCTAAGTTTAGCCTATAGTTTTAAGCACAATATCATGCGGGAGAAAAAGCTTGACTAAGATGTTCCTGACTACATAAATAGCCTAACTACTAACGTCAGACATCTCGAGTTGGGAAAAGTAATTTTCGGGGGATACAGAGTTGATTTGTGGGAGGTAGCAGGAGAGATGAGAACCTGAAGAGCAATGGGATGAGTTGCGCGCGACGTACCTAAAGAGCGGTGGGGGTGACTTGCGCGCGACGTACCTGAAGAGCTGGGAGGGATGCGGTGGAGAGGGGTGTGCAAAGTGTTTAATGACCGGGCGGGAGACGCGCGATTTCCGGGAGATTATCATTCATTTGCGGGCATCTAAGTTACTTGGGCATCTGGGAGTCTCTGTGCATTTGCGGGATAACGTTAACGTTAGTCCCGCAACTTCCGGGAGACTTCTGTAACCTTAAATGTCTGAGAAAGTGCAAACGCGGTCATTTAAAGACATTAATGTTAATATTCCGACTTTATTGGTTGTCAACGCTTAATATAATTCAAGCGTAAGTTACGTTATCACGCGAGTCTATGAACTAACGGTATATGGACGGCCACGAATGAACCAGTTTAAAAGGGCCGCGGTGTTTAAAATAACCAAATTAACGTACACGAATAACAAACAATCATATGTTTTAGTCAGGAAGCCTTTTACAAGTAAGCATATGTTCATTTACTCACCAGATATGTTTTAGAAACTCTCCTGAGCTTATGGAAACCGTGCTGTGTTGCCGTTAGCATCCGGGCAGAGTAGGCTAGGCGCTCCGGGGATTCCCTCGCTAGTTTGCTTCGAATTAAAGGAGAAGTGTCGATTTTATTTTACAGATGGGTAACAACGCACAAAATGGCATTAAGCGTGACAGAAATGTGTTGAACATGTACATTTGATGTACATTCTTGAAAAGAAGTTAATAGTAATGCAGTTAAGCTAGATACACAAACGACCATGAATGAACCGCAGAAGATTAAAATTGTCACTCCATTCTAAAGTTATTAACTTAACAATATGTTTACAACTGTATTTCCTTAAAGAAAGTCAGTAAAATACCAACATTTAGGTAGTTTGACTCACCAGTTGCTGTTCTAAACCTCAGATGGAAAATGGCGTCTGGAAATTCTTCAGTGACTGGGGCTGCATGAATTCCCGGATGTTGGAAATAACACCACCAAGTGTTGAAAAGATAACTCCGTGATTTCGCACTGAATAAAATCAATTCTAACTCTTATTATATTCATTTATCAAAATCTAACTCTTTAACGTCAACACTTTACTCTGAAATGCTTGAACACCGAGAATTTAACTCAGATGAATTTGCTGTGTAGACCTTCAGATATACTTATATGTCATATTATTCTAGGTGGTACTTTGGGAGGTCTCCTGGGAACTTGGATAACCAGTGGCCAATTCAAACCTTTTCCTGAGATAATTGAGGAGCTTCCCCCTAAATACAAGGAGGTCCTGTACTCTGATATCATGGCTGCTCTGAGCTCTCTGAACTGGACAGATGTGGCTAGTCTCATTGCTCTGGTTATGGGAAGCGTCACTCTGCAGGAGCAAGTTCTTGCTGCTATACACACTTTTGCCACGAAAGAGCTCAATGCTGAATTGCAGTATGGAAAGTGACCAATAAAGAGTTAAAGCAAGCAGCAGTGTTTCCTTTTTAATTACGACAGACAGATCTGCCACTGTTCCTGTTTTTCTGCAACTTCTCTTCTTTATTATTAAAACAAAAAGCAATAACATGTGTATGGTGTGAAGCACATTACTTTCTTGTGCACAATGGAAGTACTCTAATAAAGTTATTTCTGTGGATCAATTCTATACATAATAAAAATTCAATTTCTGTGATGGATTAAGGTGTATGTTAAACTTGAGTGAACTTCTTTTAACGTATTAATTTTATGAAAGAATTAGTGAAATGTTCTTTCTTCTAGTTTATTGTCATGTCAGGTGAATTTCCTGCTGCATGGGTAAACTACAGTTCTACCTGATTAAAATCAGAGTGACTGAAGTCAACATTCAAATGACTGCTAAGAACAATGGCTCGCACAAGCTGCAAAGTGCGGAAGTCCATGTCATAAGAGCCATGAGGGTAAGACCGAAAGTAATTTGAACGTGATCCAACTCTGCATTAGTAGGCTACCTCAGGTAAGAACTTTAAACCTTCTAAAACGTCTATTAGTCTAAAAAAGTAAGGCTATTGGCAAGTGACTTTTAAAGTTACAGTTTGTAGTAAATTGACATGAAAAATCAAGAGCTACGAAATGGTTAAAATGATTTTTTTTATATTAGCTACCTACTTACAGCGTTAATACCGCTTATATTTTTGAGTTTGAACTCATTTATCGTTGTTTATCGCCCGGTTTAGGCAATAACACCTCAAATGGCGAATCGAAAAGATGATATTATAAAGTTTTGCTGTGAAATCTCCGCCGATAAGAAGATACAAGCCGCATTTAAAGGCTCGGCGAAAGGAGCAGCAGTTGCCGGTGGAGGTGCTTTTGTCGGAGGACTGATTGGAGGTCCAGCTGGCATTGCACTCGGTGCGTTTTCAGATGTTTATTTTGCATGCGCAAAGCCGCAAACTCTCTGTTTGACCACATGATGGTGCTGTATCATCATTGCATGTCATTATCATGTCATTTGATACCATATTGATTTATCGAAGGTGCTGCAGTGGGAGGTGCGCTGGGAGCATGGATGACCAGTGGCCAGTTCAGACCTCTTCCTGAAATCCTCATGGAACTGACTCCTTCACAGCAGGACAAACTGTACTCCGATGTCATGGCCATAGTGGGTTCACTCAAATGGACTGACGTTCCTCAGCTGATGGCTCAGGTTCATGGGAATTCTTCTCTACAAGAGCAAGTGCTGGGTGCTATACTCAGTTATACTAAAAACCAGCTTAAAGCTGAGGTCAAGTTTGAGGATTGACCACTAGAGTTAATGTTACAGGTCAGCTTTCTAAGACATTTAGGACATTTATTCATTTGGCAACTTAAAGTAATGATAAAAGAAACACTTCAGAAAACTGGCAGTAAAGTAATTATAAACAAATATTGATTTAAAAATGCTCTATTTAGCTATGTATCATCGTGCATCTGTTGCATGTGTTTATTGGTTATTTTAAGAAGTTCTGACATGACATCCAAACAGAAGTGAACCATTTTAAAATGTATTTTTTATTCTTGTTATAAGAGCTTATTTTTGCTTTGTTGAAGTGCATGTGTCTATGTCTGAGACTTCATGTCTGAGCATGCATGTGCAAGTCAGCTCCCAGACACTGGACTTCAGCATCAGTACTCCAGTCTTCTATGCCACGTGATATTTCAGAACTCATTTAATTTACAGGTTTGCTGCTGATCAATTAATAGATCAGATTTTCATTTAGTTTCCCCCAAGATTCAATAATGTAAAGAAAGATTAAACTGAACACTATTTCTTTGAAACAGAAATGTTTACTCTCACTTCTAATCAGGTTAATGCATCCCCACTGAATAAAAATACTGCATTTTTAAGATTATCTCACTGACTGCATCAGCCTATAAATGTGATTGTCTTTTATGGCTTGGCTGTTCCAAGATGTTTTTTTTTTTTTTTTTTCTTATTGTATTTACTTTGACACCTCAGTGGGTAAAGTGAAAGTTGACCATTTAGAGCAGCGACCAAAAATTTAAAATCAGTCAAAGCAATAGAAATGTCTCCAAGTAAAACTTACTAAATGATTACAGGACATGATGCTTTTATACGTTCATTAAACAAGAAGATGTTTGCATGAAGTAACAAATGTTGTACTGGATATGACTGTGAAGACAGGGCCAGGCTGCTGACAAAATTTCAGACCTAGAAATTACACATCCACCTAGGCTATTCTTTGGTAAATGAACTAAAACTGGATGAGGGTTTGCTAAATAAATCAGCATATAGTTGACTCTTTTCAGAATGTCTACCATTTCCTACTGTATTTTGTGTGATGACTATGTTAAGAGGGGCTTGTTTTGGGTTTTGCTTTGGATGGAAGTGAAAAAGGATATATAATTCCTTAGCCTGCAAAATATTTAAAAGCTTTTTCTATAAGGTTATCTCTTCCCTTTTTCATCTTCTCATTTTCCCCCAATATATTTCGGGCTCTTCTTTACACTATCATTATCCTCATACACTTAGTAAACAGGAAAATAGTTATTTCCTGGAATTTTAAACTAGTCATCTCAGTGGGAAAAAAATAATCAATCATTCTTCATGCTCTAGTGTTACAAAAAGAACCGTCTACACCTTTATGCAAAACAGCCACATTTAAATTTGCATTACATTTATTTGTATACAAGACATTTGTTTTTTCCCCCAAAGCGACTTAGACATTGAAATTAGATTTTCCAAAGTCTAAATAAATATGTACACATTATTTTATTTATATTAAAATGACTTAGAAGCAAAATTGATCAAAACAATATACATTTCAGCTGTTGATTGTTTGGCTTGATTATGACTAATTTGTTGTGTAAAAAATTATTTGCACAAATATCTTATTGTATAGCATCCATAGAAAGTATCCATTTAAAAGCTAGATTTAATTTTCTATTTTTTTAATTTTTTATTTTGCTGCATGGACACTGTACTATACCCAGGATTAATTTCATGACAGGTGTACATTTTAAACAGGTAGATCTAATGAGAAGAGTATTGCACTGTTTTCTTGCTAATTGTTTGACAGTTTATCAATCAAAGTTGTATTATGTTGCGGTCAAACTCTGATATAAATTAAATGATTATCAAACAAGCACCATAACACCACCTATAGACGGAGGAGCAGAGCGCGGAAGCGTGATGATGACGTCACTCGCAGATTGATTTCTCAATCCGAAAGTAAAGTCGAAGCAGAAGCAGAGGTAGGCTGAAGTCTGCAAGTTTTACCAAAGCTCTGAATTAATTTGTTACGTGGCACAGCGTTAAATAAAACAGTCGTAGGTCTTTATTGTAGATATGTTATTATGTGTAACTAGTTTAGTTTAGTTTTGTTTTTCCTCACAACATCATAGGCTACATACAGCTGGTTGTTGTTTTATATAACAATATGTTAAATGCATTGTGTACAGTGTTCAGTCTTTCTGCAATTGAGAATAGACAGCTCTTTGATTCATGTTTCTCCATGTAGGCTGTGGGTTTTTTTTAGCACAACATAATGAACCGTCAAATAGACGATGTGATGGGTCTCTGCTGTAGGGTTTCAGAGAGCAGACAGATTAAAGCGGCTCTCCAGAACTCCAGCAAAGGGGCTGCAGCAGCCGGCGGAGGGGCTTTTGTAGGTGGTCTGCTCGGAGGTCCACCCGGTATATTTATTGGTATGTATGTACACTCGTGTGCTTGATTTGATGTCATCTGTAAACTTTAACCCAATGCACTTTGTAACCACTAGGTGGTGCTTTAATACAATCTAAAATAAAGTATATCTTTGATATACTGTCATGAAATCAAAATTGACAGTATTTAGGCTACTTTGTTTGCGTACTTTGATATTCTGGCGAACAGTTATTTTGTGCAATTTAGTCCTTGTTAAAAATCTCTTGGTTTATCAAAATCTGAAAATTCCTTTTTAGAGGAATTTAATGGAAGGGAATACATCATTTACACACTTTGAAGCCAGTTTATTTCAAAGCCAGTTTGAGTTTTTTTTTTTTTTATTATGTTGAGCACCAAAGAAAATATATCTGAAAACATGTAACTATGACATCTATAGAAGGAAAAGCAAATATTATTTATGACATTTTCTATATCCTATTATTTTTTTAAAGGAACAACAACAATAAAAACTTGTCGTTTGTAACAAGTCAAGGGTGAAGAAATAATGACAGTTATTATTATTATTATTATTATTATTATTATTATTATTATTGTTGTTGTTGTTGTTGTTGTTGTTGTAAGCAATTGATTTAAGTCAGTTTGACAGCTTGAGCAGAATTTCATTAACCACTTCTCTATATCATGAAGTTTAAGGGATACTTTGACCAAAGATGAAAATTTACTCATTCTCTTGTGGTTCCAAACCATTTTGAGTTTCTTTTTTCTGTTGAACCTAAGGAGAGATATTTTGAAGAAATCTGGAAACTGCTTACCCTTGATTTCCAAAGTAAGTAAAAAAGAAATACTGTAGAAGTCAATGGTTACAGGTTTCCAGCTTTTGTTAGCAAATATCTTTTTTCATATTTAACAGAAAAAAAGAAACTTAAATAGGTTTATGACAAGTGGATAGTTGGGAAGTGTGTGATTGTGGATGTATCACAATAAAAAGTTACCAATAATTAAGTTTAATAAAAAATAATAATAAATAAAAATTGCACACTGAAACAGCAAAAAAAAGTGTTCTTTGACATCTCTAATTATAATTAAACCATACAGATAAAGTACAAATAAATCAATCAACACAGTGGATTTTAAGGTCTTTTAGCTTGATTACAATTGAAAGTTAATACACTTAATTTATTTGTTTTCTTGATGCTTAAAGGCGGTGCTTTGGGAGGTGCATTTGGATGGTGGATGACTAGTGGCAAATTCCATCCTCTACATCAGATCATCATGGAGATGCCTCCCCAACAGAAGAACAAACTGTACTCTGAGGTCATGGCCGTGCTGGGCAATCTGGATTGGGTTGACATGGCACAACTCATTTTACTAGTGATGGGTAACTCCTCTCTACAGATGCGAGTGCTTACTACTTTGATCTCTTTTGCAACAAAAGAGCTCGGAGCCAAAATAGAATATGGACAAAATTAGTGGGTTATTGACAGCTGCTTAGTCTAGGTTTGACTTGGTAATACTTTAGTTTAGCTCATAATTCAAGATATTAACTACTGGCTTATTACCTATTATAAAGATATAAACATAATTCATTAGTAATTATACAGAATGATCTTATTCAGAATCCCTAATCCTATACAAAACTTAAACCCAACTTCTATCCTACTAACTAACAAACAGCTAATCAATTGTTTATCAAGCTAGAAGTGCTAGTTTATGATTTGTTAATTCCGTATATTATGATTTAAATTAAGGTGTTACCTTTAACAATATGAAGAGCTTCATTAGTTTTTTTGTTGTTGCTTTATTATAACGTAATATGTGTACTGTAGGCATCATGGTCTATTCCTTTTCTTTTTTTTTGCTTTTTTAAAGTTTCATATGATAATTCAAATTGCAAAAATTTAGCATGTTTAGGCTTCTGATTAAGTAACTGTTTATCATTTCTAGAACATGTGCTTTCTAAAGCACGTGACGAGCCATTTCAGTACAGATAAAAGGACAAAAAAAGAAAAAAATTCTGTCATTTCTTACCATGATGCGGTTCGAAACCTGTAAGACTTGTTTTTGTTCTATGGAACAATGTAAAAATGAACGTCAGTTTTGTTTACACTTGCACATGCACTGTGTGGATTTAAAAGACATTTCTCAAAAAACAATCTCTGTAAAAGAAAGTGAGAATATATTGACATAATTTTTATTTCGATGATTTTTTCTTGTTACTAGTTGTCTAAAATCAAAAATATATATACATATTTATTTATTTAATTTGCTAAATTATACTTTACAAAAAATGCAGAATATGACCTGATTCAGAGTCAGATATAAATGTTCATTATCGGAATTATATATATATATATATATATATATATATATATATATATATATATATATATATATATATATATATATATATATATATATATATATAGGGTGACTCAGTGGTCTGAGACATGGAGTACAGGTGAAGTGAATAAACTAAATTGTCCGTAGTGTATATGTGTGAATCAGTGTGTATGGATGTTTCCCAGTACTGGGTTGCAGCTGAAAGGACATCTGCAATATAAAACATATGCTGGATAAGTTGGCAGTTCATTCCGCTGTGGCGACCCCAGGTGATAAAGGGACTAAGCCAAAAGAAAATGAATGAATGAATTTAAATGCTTTTTAGTTTTAACTGCATTGTTAACTGAGGAAAGTCTAAGAGGACACTAAATACACAATGACAACTTTATTACCCTCACACAATTTTAGTTTTTTAATAGTGCTGCAAACTTTGTAACAACATGTAGCAATCATTTTTAACATTGTATTATTATATTTGCTGGAAAACCAATCAATGCATGTACCGTACTCTAAATTTTTTGTTTATTAGTTTGTGTTTACCTGGCTTATAATAGCTACAACACAATCTGAAAGCCATTAGTATTTTTTTGATTTAGTGGCTAATTCATTTGAATTTATGCAATTTAGAATGAGTTGCTCTTCCTTAATAACAATTAGGTTTAAGCAAAGATGCCCAAACTAGGGTCTGCGGGCCAAAGTTGTCCCATGGTAGCCTTTGACATCTGAGAGGTGAATGAGAATGGGAGGGTTTAGAGGTTTTCATTTAAAATTTTATGCAACCCTTTATTTGTTTGTTAAATTGTTAAGCTACAAAAAAGCTAACTGAAATTAAATGTCAATTTAAATGGTGTAAATTTATCTGATTTTGTTTAAAATGTGCGTACTGTCACCTGACGGATAGAGGACTTTGGTGAGCAAATCAAGGCAAAGGCAGATTCTACTTGACAGCATTCTGCACTGAACTCCACTGTGTCATAAATGTGATTGTTTATGTTTTTTTGCCAATAACTTATATTAGCAACTTTAATGTAAAAGTGTTTGGTATATTTGTCCTCAGCCCATGGCTATCAATGATATTTGGTTTTTGGCCTTTCATACAAAAAAGTTTGGACACCCCTGGGTTTAAGAGTGGGGTTAGGTGCTACACCTCCTTTTTAAAGTTATACATTTTCATATACGATAATATTTCCATATAATTTGTATGAATTAGCCACTTAACTGACAAAATGTAAAATAGTTATGTTTACTTGTGAGATAAGGCTGTGCTATTTACTACCAGAATAGTCTTATGCTCACCAAAAGTTCTGCAAAGCACACATGCAAACATGTACGACCACGCACGCACACAGTGAGACTAATGTAATGTATGCCTGTGATGGCAAATCTGAATTTTATTCACTCCACTACAATTCTTTAGAAATCTTTCTGATATGTTGATTTGTTGTTCAAGAAAAAAAAATGTCATTATCATTATTAAAAAGAGAAAGAAAATTGTAATATTTTACATGTATTTGCTGTCATATTTGACCAATTTAAAGCAGCGTGGTTGAATAAAATATCTTTAAAACATTACTGCCCACAGACATTTGATTTCATGTAGCATTACTAGATTAGTTTTTAAAGAAATGACTCTATAAATAATTACATAAATATTTAACTCCAGGTTGGAGGAAAGTCCTTACCCCAGGTGAAGGAGTTTTAAGTATCTTGGGGTTTTGTTCACGAGTGAGGGAAGGATGGAATGTGAGATTGACAGGTGGACTGGTGCAGCTGCAGCAGTAATGCGGTAAAGAAGGAGCTGAGCCGAAAGGCAAAGCTTTCGATTTACCGGCCATCTACATTTCTACTCTCACCTTTGGTCATGAGCTTTGGGTAATGACCGAAAGGACAAGATCTCGATTACAAGCAGCCGAAATGAGTTTACTTCGAAGGGTGGCAGGGCGCACTCTTATGGATAGGGTGAGAAGCTCTGACACTCAGGAGGAGCTCGGAGTAGAGCCGCTGCTCCTCTACATCGAGAGAAGTCAGCTGAGGAGGCTCGGGCATCTGTTTAGGATGCCTCCTGGGTGCCTACCTAGGGAGGTGTTCCAGGCATGTCCCACCAGGAGGAGGCCTCGAGGAAGACCCAGGACACGCTGGAAGCACTATGTCTCTCGGCTGGCCTGGGAACGCCTCGAGATCCCCCTGGAGGAGCTGGAGGAAGTGTCTGGGGAGAGGGAAGTCTGGGGTTCTCTCCTAAGACTGCTGCCCCTGCGATCTGGCCCAGGAAAAGCAGCAGTAAATGATTGAATGAATGAATTTAACAACAACAAAAAGAGTGATTGTAATTTCACTGAAATAGCATGTACGTGATATTTGGTTTGTTTGTGTAGACTGAAATGACGTTTATATTCAAATATCATCAAAATGAAGAGGAGTCTTCACATGACAGACTTTATTAATTGAAATCTAATCATTGTTTCACCTATTATGTTGTGCTGGCAGTCTTGCTTCTTGAGTTTAGAGAAGACAGTGTGTTTGTTTTCATGTTTGAAAAATTGGTTAATATGAAGTCGTTGATGCCATCATTTTGTTAAGTTTTCCTCATCACAACATTTCTTTAAAAATGAGAAGTGGTTGGCCATTAAACCACAGTAACCCAATTATTATGTACTGTGCTGATTCGGTCTAGTTCACATGTGCTTAAAACAACTTCTCTAATAGCACTCACCACATTCACATCCTGTCAGAACAGAGAAAACCACACTAAAAACACCAGTTTAGGTCCACCACCACAAGTATTGAAAATGTGTACACAAGGTAAAAAAGAACTAAATAAATTCAGACAAATTGAGTATATAGTGTGATCCGCCTTTGCACTGAACTTTTTGAGTCAACTCTGAAGAATACCCGGTTCTTTATGAAAACACCAGCACTTCCTCGACTTTCTTTAGATTGATTTTTATTTCTTACCTCTGTCCAAGATCACATTCTGTCTCGATAATATTCAGGTATGGACTCAAATCATAGTGTTTTATCAGCAGCTTAGGTGGAGACCAAAATATCTACTTGTTGTCATTATGCCATTGCTAAAATAACAAATGCAGTGATTGCCAAAAAGGGAGTGGGGAACAACAAAACAAACCGCGTATAGCCCCAAGCATTGACTGTAAGTTTGTTGGCAGCAAAAATACCATTTATTTTAGGTGCATGAGGGTTGACAAGGTGCTTGAATAACGTAATAATTTGTCACCAACAACAATAAGTTTCTTCCTTGTATAGTACAGTTGAATTTACTTCATGACTGTTAAAATATAACGTATGAATGTGAGTAGTATGAACGAAACACCTTTAAACACAAAAATTCAGGTGTTTACTTAATTTTATTCATTCATTCTATTTTTTCGGCTTGGTCCTATTATTAATATGGGGCAAACACAACAAATGTTTTACGCAGTGGATGCCCTTCCAGCTGCAACCCATCACTGGGAAACATCCATACAAACTCATTGACTTACATACAGTAAATTTAACCAAATTCACCTGTAAACTACATGTTTTTGGACTTGTGGGGAAAACCAGAGCACCCAGAGGAAACCCACGCCAACACAGGGAGAACATGCAAACTACACACAGAAATGCCATCTGACCATTAAGGTACATTAAGGTACTATTATATCTATTAACATTGACTATGACTTTCAGTTCAATAAACTCCTAAATTGCTGCTTAATAATATTCTTTAAGGTAATATAGGTTTGTGAAGTGTTATGGATGTCAAATAAGATAATGCAGAATATCTACATTATAAGCACTAATAAACACTTCATATCTTAATAAAATCCAGGTAATAATAAACTAGTTAATATTGATATTTATTTTATTTTAATTTCATTTTTGGTAATTCTTTAGTATAATAACCCATGCTAGTTATTGTATTTACTAACAATAACTAAGTATGAATATCCTTGTAAAGCATTAATTAATCAGGCAGTGGTGTAAAGTAACAAATTACTGTAATTGAGTTTTTCTCAGAAATTGTAATTTACTAAGTAGTTTTAAAAGTATGTACTTTTATTTTCCCTTGAGTAAATTTTTAGAGCTGTATCTGTACTTTTACTCCACTACTTTCCTTCAACCTGCAGTCACTACTTTCTTTTTTCTTGTCACATAATGAACTGCCTCAAGACATAAGTGGTTTATAATCGCAGCAAACTGTTTGGAAGCATTAAGTGTCCAAGAAGATGTCCACAACCGTTAGACGTATTGACCTAGAGACTGTTTAGATGCATGTCACTGATAAAAGATGATGGATGTTTACTGTATGATGACCGAAATGGCTTTAAACACCCAGCAGGCACAAGATGTCAACATGATGTCAGGTTGATGCTGTACCCCAACGTCGTGGGAACGTTGCATTTTGTTTAGAAAAGAAAATTGGGTTGACATCAGAACCCAACATAAGGCTAATGTTAATATTCCATGTCCAACTTAAAATCAACCTAAATGATGTTATAGTTTGATGTTGTGTGTATATTAGTGTCTATCAATTGTTGGATTTTGGTTGCCATACCTGACGAGTAAATGTCCATGTCTGAAATCAACATGACGCTGATTAAAATGTTGGCTCGATGTTGAATTTTGGTCATTTTCCAACACAACCTAATAATATCAACCAAATTTCAACTTCATTTGACATCGTTATTAGACATCAAAATAAAGTTGGTTTATAGATGCTGACTAGACATTGAATTTTGGACACCTGACATTACGACCTAAATTTAACATAATATCAACGTCTTTTGGCGTTGTGTGCCTGCTGGGCAATAACTAAATCCACTACAGAATGTTACGTTTA